ACTCACATGAAGATAAAAGGAATAAATGTTTATGATAAAGTACTAATTTGTAAAAAATATTAAACATATCGACAACAAGAGACCATTTGATTTTCCAAGGCTGTCATTACACATCCACATTTAAGAAAAAGAGAAGCAAGTTAAAAAAATTTAATCTCTCTATCTTTTGCAGAAAATGATTGATTTTTACATCTTAAACTATTATTAGGTGCTGGCCTTCATTACTGCTAATGGCAACTTATTTTATTAGTGCTAATAACCCTGTTAGAAAATAGTCTTAACTTGAGGCTAACCTGTCTTTTTCCAAATCTTAAGTTTGTGTCTTGTTCTCTTCAGGATACAGTACATGAAATATGTTGCTTCTATCTTTATCCTTAACTGAAATATATAAAAAATAGAATACATGTAATTACAAGAGATGTGGCTACCTCTCAAATACCAAAGTTTTTGTTGATAGTATTTCTAGTACAATTTAGTTGTAGTTTTTAGATATTTTGAAAGTTAATCTATCAACCTATCCATAACTTAGAATTTTTAAGGTTTTTTTCTTTTCTGGTAACAAACATACGATTCCTGTTCTAAGGAATTTTTTAAATTTATTGATCAGTTTTAACTCCATAAAAGGTTCCATTTTTATTACTTTAATAAAATTTTGTGAAGGACACCAATTCACCTCATTATCATCTTATGAAAATTTCATCCAAGTCATGAATTTTATTACCACGTGAAATACAAAGTCATTAGAGTGTAGTGTGAAGTAATATCTCACTCCTGTAGAGAGAAAGAACAACAAGACAGAACACACTTTGGTTCCATCCACAAAACTAATTTACATAAACTGTATGTTTCATTTAGTTTTTGTTACTTTTCCAAAATTTGTGGTGTATCTGTTCATGTCTAACAGCACATTGCTGGTTGGGAAACACTGATCTAACCCATAATACTAGTTAGATAAAAGTTATGAATGTGAAAGAAACCTGTATATCTAAGTATTAACAAAAGTATACTTTAGCTTTTTATGGATGTATGCATTTTATATAAAAGTGGGGCGAAGGGTTAGTTTTGCTATACTTCCCTGGAGGAGTAAAATTTTGACATTCCTCAGATATTTTCTATATAATTAATATTGCACGAGTTCAGCAGTACTATGAAAAAAACCTTTTAAATGCATATTGTATGTTGATGTAAAGTGTAAATATACAAACTGTATTATCATTGTAAAGATTTTTTCAACTATCCTACTTACTGTCCTGAAAGGAGAAGTATTTGGTCATTAAGGTTTCAGGGTACAGAATTTTTTATAGGTAGCACTGTAGAAACCAGATCGAAATGGAGAAACTTTTTTACCCTCTGACGGTTTTAAACAGGGATTGATATAGCGAAAGCTTGTTTTTTCAATGTCTGTGTGTTTGTACAAAGTAATTTTAGATTGATAAGTTGAGCATGTAGTTGACTAATGACCTTCAATTACAGGGAGTTCACAGTAATCCATTTGCAGTGTTGTTCCTATGTTACGCAATTTAAATCACCCTTGCTCTCTTGCATCAAAAGTACGGGGAAACAATTGATACTTTGAGTGACACCCTTGAAACATAGAATTGATGAAATAGGACTGTGTTAAGATTATTTTTTTTTAGTTACTCCTAATTAAACAAGTTATTGTTACAATTCTACAGCAACTACAGTGAAACCCTGATTTTACGCGCCCCGATTTAACGAGAAATCGGATATAACGTGATGGGTCATTATCTCTTTCGACACAGGTTCGGTCCCTGTGACAGACCTTGTAACCATCACCTCGTTATTGTTTACATACTAATAACTTTTAAGATTTTAAGTGTATCTTAACAAAACCCCAATTTAGCCGATCCTGCTTGTTTCGCAATGACATCTTATGAACCTCAACGATCTGGTTATAACGGGGCTACACTGTATTTCCAAAGCAAAATCTTAAGTAATCTGCATGGATGTGGAACATCACATATGTAAATTATCAGAGCTTAACCTGGAACATCATGGTTGGGAGTATCTATAGCTCATTGATATTAATATTGTAAGTAGTTTGGAAATTCTTTTGGATTATATTACTCCAATAATTTTAGAGTGAATTTTATTACTTGTCAGTATTGTAAATCACATTACAGCTGCTCTTTTCCTTTATATACTATACTTTTATTGACATAAATACAATAATGAGTCATATACAGCACTAACGAATGTAAAAATATTCAGTGTGGCTGGCACCTCAGTTGCTTGCCAAGGCAGTGAGGCATGCCAATGCAACTGACACATTTTTATGCATAATTTTGAATATAATACAACTTCATGCTTGTGGCCATCTGGTTGGTCACAAGTGAAACGAATGTATTAATGTTTATTACCTAAAACATATGCCTCAGAAAGGATCATGTGGTAAAATATAGGCCTACTTGTGGAAATGTGCATTTGACTGGTTGAATCGGCAGATGCTACCGAGTTCACAACCTACTGTTTTCAAGGGTACACTTATAAATTGTTTAATTCCCGCACTTTCATCACAACACTGCATTTTGGTTATGATAATTTGGATCAGTTGTTTATTATAGATGGGAACTCATTCAATGATGAGTACAGAGACCACAACTGTACACAGTCTTCCCATCATCCTATTAGCCCTTCTCTGACCCCACTACAATAAGAAAAGGCCCTTCCTTAGATAGAGACCACAACTGTACACAGTCTTCCCATAAGAAACCTAACTAGTGAATATAAAGAGACAATTACCTCTTTAAACTTGTAATCAATATAATACATCTTAAAATTCTAATAGCTTTACTACTGGCAACACAATACTACTTCATTGCCTCTAGTGACTTATTCACTACAATCCCAAGATTCTTTACTTCAGTTAAGGAAGGGCATTTTCTTATTGCAGTGGGGTCAGAGAAGGGCTAATAGGATGATGGGAAGACTGTGTACAGTTGTGGTCTCTATCTAAGGAAGGGCATTTTCTTATTGCAGTGGGGTCAGAGAAGGGCTAATAGGATGATTCTGGGGAGGGAAGGGATATGTTAGCATCTGTTAACTTATTTTATTTTGAGGAAAGATAGGTAAGAGATGATCTTATTGAGGTTAACAAGATTATTTGGGGATTGAGAGGATAAAGATTAGGAATTTCTTTGTGCTATAGCTTGATGTAAACAGGATGAGAAGACACAAACTTAAGCTTTGTCAGTTTTATTTATTTTACTGGATAATTGAGTTGTAGAACGAGTTGTCACCCATTAGTAAGCCCATTTCATTACAGTAGTATGAGACAGGAATCAACGATTCCTTGAAAAGTAAAGGGCCAGTTTAAGCTCTTGTTGTCCATAAGTTATGTTATTGTAGAAATAATATTTGATAAAGACTTATAAATTTGATTCTACATTTTACCATACCAGTCTGGCCTCAATTAAATTAACCAAGTTTATTTTATATTAATGTTAGTTTAAAATGGTGAATTATATCAATATTGTCTAAATAATTTCCTTCACAACAGGGCCATATGAAAGAGTACCCCTCTATATAGTTATTTGTGGCTATAGAAGTGATGGTAGTGCACGCCCTATAAATCTTCATCTCGCTAAACTTTTGTTGGAGAATGGAGCAGATCCAAACAAAAGAATTCCGTTGGTTAGTATTATTTTCTTGTAAAATAAAAATATCCAATTTTACGACAAAGGAATGTGAGTATTTACTTTTTTTTTCTTTCATAATTATAAAATAAATTTATATCAGTTAGTAATTTTTAATTTTGTTAAATTGGGATGAAAAGGTTTTTATTTATTAATTCCATTTTTTTTT